AAATGTGCTGTACAGTTTTTGCTGGGATTTGCATAGATCGATGACCTTCTTCTCCCTGAGCAAGAACACATAAACTTGAATTAGGCTGCTATTCAATCAGATAAATGGTGATGAAAAACCTACAAATTATAGCCTTAGTAAACCACAGAGGCATTCTGAGGTTCCTGCTTGAAAATGACATGCCCAAAATGAATTCATTATCTCTCTACAATTACAAACTCCCTGTAAACCAACTTGGTATCTAAATTAAGCTAACACTTGATTTGTGTCAGGTTGTTACAGGTTGCAATTCCTTTGTATATTTATAACAGTGTTATTTTCATATTATTTAGTGTCATCACAAATAATTACTTCTTGCCAAAGGTAAGCTGAAGTGCAATGTAGTAAATATTACACTTTAAGAAAACAGTGACACAGTGAAAGTTGACATTGTCTTCTTAAACTTACTTTATCTGGTGTTTGTTTCCCTGCATGTGGTCCTGGTACATCTCCACAGAGTTAAATTGCATACTACACATCTGACACATCAAGGAACTGCCTGGAGAAAAAGATTAGAAAGAAGAGAGATTTTTTTTAAAAATCCAACAACTTTCAACGGGCCAATAAAGATTTAGTAAAGTCATTTTTCTACTGTTTTACAAATTCTGGTTTTCTCCAAATCATTCATGCCATCTCCACAAAGAGATGCTGTAGCGCTTAAAGCTGAAAATAAAAAACAGGAAACTGCTTTATTAAACTTTCTGACATTCTGGCTCACCTGATTCAATCCCCTCGAGTCAGACTTATCAGATTAAAGTCAGATTATTGTTATAATAATAAATAATAACAAAACCACAGAATTATAGCTAATCAGACTATCTGAATCACATCCATACTTACTGTAATAATGCTACAAAGCCAACTTCTATTTGATTATCTCCTATTCACCCACCTGTACTGGGATAAATCTTCACTGCTGATGTAGATGTTTCAACTAGATTTTTCACTTTTCCCTTCAGAACTTCCTGTTTCTTTTTCCCTTTCTTGTTAATGTTTCTGTCCTGGTTTCAGGCTGCTGTGGTGATTTTTATTAAATTCCTGAAGGATTTAACGCTCTTTGTATTATCCTGTTTGCTCAAAGGCAAAAAGTTACCTTGCTCTACATTGTGTCCTAGCTGTTTGAGCAGCTCCTGTCTGGCCTGATTCCTCTGGTGTTTGCGTCCACTGTAGTGCTGCAAGGCTACATGGAGATTCGTGAAGGAGGCAGTACACAGGGCACAGTACTTGTTGGGATCCTTCAAATCAACCTCTGTGCTACATGTAGCACTGGTGACTGCTGGATCCAAATCATGCTCCACAACACCCTCTGAGGATGGTTTTTGCTGAGACTTATCAGGATCCTGTTGGAGACCTGATGAAGCACGCACTTCTGTAGACTTCTCTATAAAATGACAGTGAAATCATGATGTCAACATATCTTCCTTACTGTGTGTAAATATCAAAATCTACATCAAGAAAATGCTTTTTGCATCACAGAGCTCAAACTTGCCTGATAGGTGAAGACTTTGTTTACGAAGATTTTTTGTATGGACTTTGCCTTCATAGTGTGATCTTGCCACCACAGGTGAGCTAAATACCATGTTGCAAAGCTCACAGAAATGATCTTTATCATTACTCATCGTCTGCTGCAAAAAACAAACAAAAACTATAAACTACTTATTTTATGAATACAAGATTGCTTTCATATACCCCTCATATTCTTTTGAGAGGGATATTATTAAAGCACTAATACTGTAGCTCTGATATTCTTCACTATTGGATGCTTACATTAGTTTGTCCTCACTCAGTTCTCATGATTACAGACAAGAGACTCCATCTGACAGAAAAAGAAAACTTAAACTTGGCCACTAACCTGGGCGCCTGTTGACTTTTCTGCTTTTTTGGTCTGCAGGTACAGCTTGAGTTTCTGAGCGTGTTTCTTTCCCTGCAGTTGGACAACATGTGAGACATTATTAGAAAATATTTTACTTATGGCAGGTCTAATTAAAGTTGTACTACGGTGCTATGATTTGTGCCTGGAGGATAAAACACACCTCATAGTGAGACAGCCGCTGTGACTTAAACAGCAGCACAGCCTCACACACATGGCAGTAACTGTCTGTAAGGAGACACTTCAGTAGCGCCTCTTCAGCTTTGTTTCCTGTGCGGCAGAATACATGAAAACTTATTTAAACATGAAGCACAAACGAAACACTATTAAATTATTAAATTCACATAAGAGAAAAGTTTTTCCAATACAACTTCCATTTTCTCAGTACACAGAAAAAAAAGGCTGAATCTTTAACTTTCACACAACCTTTATTGGATCATATATTAACCTATCTAATGGTTCTTTTTCAAAACAAACTAATTTGTTTTGTAATTTGTTAATTTATACAATATGCTTTGCCTTAGTGTGGCAAATCTCATTCAACATTTACAATGATTTTAATATGACCTGCTAATTCTACAAAGGTCTACACAACTGGGGAGTTGTGAATATAACCACTTAAATACATATTTCTATTAAAACGTTCCCCTTATGGAAAAGTTTATTTATCATTTATGAGGGAAAAGTAAGATACACTTTTATTTTTTTTAATCTTCTAAAACTATTTCCGCTCAACACACACTTCCTAAAGTAGCATGCAACACACATGTTGACACATACTGCATATTATATTGCTAGCCCATAACAAATTGTTACTTGATTTCTTCCATTCTGCAGATTCTGGTTGAGATGCAATAGCTGATTCACTAGTGGTGCATTCAGTGCCAATTAACTAAAAGTAGACGTAAAAAAAAGAAAAAAAATATGTGACAACTTAAATACCCACACATAAAACAAAAAAGTTAAACTAATTAACTAATTCCTAAATAAATAAAAAATAGATGACAAATTACCCTTTTGTTGCAATACCTGTTTAGTGATTTACTTTTAAAAAGTACAGTTTAGTGATGACACTCACGCATGTGGATTAAATATTACGTTTTACAAGCAAAGAAATAACTTGTCTGCTTGGATATTTTGATAAAGTGTGGCCCAGAAACAACATTAAACCACACTGAATGAGCATGATGTTTCTGTGTTATTTCAACAACCTAACTGTTCAGCCAGTCTTGTATTGCTCATATTTTCAAAACTTTGAAGGACATTTTGCAACACAGAAATATGAAATTTATTAAAGTGAAATCAACGAGTACAGTGCTGATACCAGTAAATAACAATGTTTAGGCAAGATTATTGATGTTGTAGGCTGTACTGAACTAATCATAGGACATGATGACTGGTGGAGACTGAATTTCTGTTAGAAGAACTAAAATTGTTAACTACTTTACTTCAGTAGTTTTTTTAAATTAAAAAAATAACTTATTTAAAATATCTGCGTTTGTCTCAAATGTAAACACATGCACTTGCAGAGGTGCTTATCATGAAAAAATTTTCTAATTGAAATTACGGGACAGTCTGATATACTTATAAATACTGAAAATTACTATGAAAAAGAAAATAAGGCAATCAAAGGTGATGAGGGTTTACTTTTAAAGTGCTGAGTATCAACACTGGCATCCTACATGAAGTGCTGTGAAGCACATATAAAGGACCTCAGGACAATTAAACACTAAAAGGTGTTTAAATGCAAGAAATAAAAGACTGAAACAAGTACTCTATATGTACTCACTCTGATGCTCCTGAAGAATTTATGTGCACTGATATATTTCAAATATTGTACTTACCAAATGACTTTCCATTTCCATTTATTATCCTTTCACCTTGAGAACACTGTTTTAGTTTACTAATGAGTTTAACCGGCACAAAAAAGGTGGATGCCAACTTTAAGTTTTAGCCTCAATGATGCTTCAGGTGCTAAGGTTTGCAGTCCTTAATATTGTTTTTTTTTTGTTTTGTTTTTTTAAATGGCGACATTTCAGACTAAGTTTACAATTAGACTAGCTTTCCCATGTAGGATGAAATAAATTATGTCATCCACTTAACAGTTTATGGCTTCTGCTGCTAAAACCGGTTAGTCGACGAATCGGTTAGCATTAACTACCGGTATATGGAATCATTTAAAGGGACTGTTTCGTTTCGTGTGGGGGTCGAACTTGCTGGTACTAGCTCTGAGACAAACAACATAAGGAAAAGTATCCTAACTGTTCATGGTTTAATCATCAAGCTGGGCCAAGGGTAAGAGGGAGATTTTCGGGGCGATAGTTTCTACTATCCTCCTCGTAGAGACCGCTATAAAATTCTGAAAGCCCCTCACGTTAAAGCAGATTAACGTTAGGCAGCCGACGTTAGCAAATTTAGCTAAGCAGCTAACGAGCTCACTAGAATAATGAGCTGGCTAGCCACATAGCAGAAAAGCTAACAAAGGCGCAGCAGGTAGGGTGCCATACGGCTGAATTTTCACATTCTGAAGACAACTCACCTTCAACCTGGGTACTATCTATTTTATTGTTTATTACTTTGTCAGCACCTGTGACAGAAGTCGCGTTAGGGATACTGGCAATGTTATTTTGAGAGTCTGACTCCGCAGTTAGCGAAGTACAGCCACTTGTGTCGTCCATCTTTTTTTCCCTACCTGAACGTGCATGCGCAGTAGTATTGTAGTCCTGGTACAGGAAAGCTAGTTTTAATAACTTACATCCTCCGTATTTTTTCGTCTTGTGTATTTTAAAGACTTGTTTTCATGAAAATCCTTTAACGAATAATCAGAAACGGCAATGGGAAAATCTCTCTGTTATGCTCAAATGATTTACTTCTTCTATCGAAATATCTAAAATCACGACTCTGCGCATGCACAGCAGGACCCGGATCCTTAGTATGTAAATGGAACTGATTCATATTTATGTATTTGCTACTTTTTTATCATCTAAGAAATCAGTGTTTTCTCTCTATGCCTTATATTCATATCATTAGCTGCACCAAAAATGAAGAAAAAAAAACAAGTTAATATCAAAATAGATATTTTATTCTGGGACATCATTTTCACATCGAAAAAAACAAGACAAATTTACTGACAAACATTACAAACAGCAAGGCCAGATGATCACAAAATCACGTCAAGGCAGAAATACAAAGGAAGTGGGTTACTATAGAAAAGCCGTCTCTGGAAAGATGTCACTTTCTCTTCTGAAGCTCTCTGGCTAAGGCATCCAGCTGTGGAAAGAATTTAGTATGGCATTAGACTAATACACAGAAATCAATACAGGCTACACACAGATATGCACACTATGGCTGGATAAGCACAACTTCACTAATATGTGTATGTCAGTCAAGAATTTTCAGTCAATGTCAGTCAGATTTCAGAGTAGACAAAATCTCATGATCATATGATCATAAGAAATATACTGATGGCAAGACATTGTGATTCAAGTACCATTAAACATGCTACTGTTCATCTCTGCTTTTCTCACTTACAAGAATGTTTCTCAGGATACTCCTCCTCTGGGGTCTCAGGTAGCTGCATTCCCCTGCTTCACACAGCTTAATCTCCTCTGAAATCTAAGAAGCAAAACAGATTGAGGTTAAGGGATAAAGGGTATCTTCATTCTCAACAGAAACTACTCAGTGATTGGTTAAATTATTCACACAAACACTTATCCCAACCTCTGATGTGCCAAAGGAGTCCAGCTCCCTTTTTCCTCCAGGATACCAACCATGGGACCAGTGCTGGGCAAAGGACAGCTGAGCCCCCACACAGAGAAGCAGCCCCAAGAGCAAAGCCAGTCGAGACACACACATGATATTCCCACCTAGAAGAATGGACATAGAGTTAGTTTGAAAAATATTTGAAGAACACATTCTTTATTGAGAATTTCCTGCAATAAAAGCTAAAAAGAAAAGTGTTGTTAGCTGCAATAAAGTTAATTTTAAGATCTGAGCTAAAACATTTCAGTGCAAACTTGCTATATTATTATGGATGCTGGCTATCATTTCAGGCGAACATCCAAATTTTTCACTGCATTTGGAAAACTTTTACATAACATCACTTTAAGCCAGGGGTGTCAAACGTAAGACCCGCAGACCAGAATCAGCCCTGCAAAGACTCCAATCGCGGCCCACTGGATGGCTCTGGAAAACGTGAAGGAACACATACATTTTTGAACTTTTTACTGCATTTTCACAAATTTTACAGCTTTTCCCACTCATATAGAAAAATGAGTTTGACATCCCTGCTTTCGGCGCTTCTATCATTTACTCAATTTTGAGTACAATATTCTAGTTGTCCTTTGTCATTCTGAAAGTAAATATTGAAAGTATCAGATCTTGAATCGAATAATAGTTTTAGATAAACTACTAAAACTGGGCAGAAATGTAGTCATTTGTCCTTACCTTAGTCTTAGATTTCACAGCTTTATCAGTCCAAGTTTCCCTCAGTGTACCTGCAGGGGTTCACTTCAAAATGTTCTTTTCCTTTGGTGGATTTAGTGCTAAAATCAGCTTGCGGTACAACCGAGGTGTTTTACTGAAGAGATTCTCTGCTCCCTCTTTCTTCCCCTCAATATATAGACCAATCCCCCAGCACACATCATTGTCTTCCTTATTCTTCCCCGCCCATTTTTGACCCCTTTGACTCCCTCTTCTTCTAAGGGGTCAAATGAATCATCCATGGGGACGAGACGTACATGCGGTCCGACCAATTCCAATTATCATCTGTAAACAGCACTGACACCCATCTATACCACCAATATCCTCTTCTACACTATGTCAATTTAAATAAGACATTCAAGTCATTATTAGTGAGATCCATCATCATTCTGTCACAGTCAGTGCTCATTGAGGATAAACCTTATACACGGTCAGCTTGCTTTCATTACTGGCTCTCAACAGGGAGGGCCTTTTAAGTAAGAATGCTTAGCCATACAATGTCTGAAGCTTCAATTTCCTACTTTTTACACCAGTATTGACCACAATGAACCACCACACGTTTTCTCTCTGACCTTGCTGACACCTCAGGGGGATCTGATAGGAAGAGGAACAAATACACTGGATTCCTGACCAATCCACAGGTGACATTATTGTCAATTAGAGGAGAAAAGGTATTTATGTTTCAGTTCACACCCAGGAAGTGACTGCATATGTTGCTACAGTTGTAACATAACTCATTAGACATAATCAGTCAGTGGTAGATGCTACAACAGGCCAAGCTGACCATTAATAAAATCAGTACATTTTGATGTAAAAATTTAACCTTAATGGCCAATTCGTTTTCCCATTGCCTTATTCATCAAATACTATAATTAACTTAGAGGGCTAAGTTTGGTCATTATTAATGTATTTTTTTCACCCTACGAAGCAGAAATGAAACCATTTTCACTAAAGGTATTTCCTTTACATATTTGTGTGTATTATTGTAGGGTTCTTGCAATATGAGGCAACTGATATGAGGTGGCTGATGTGATTATATATATATATAAATAAAATTGAATCTCATGTTGGCGCGTAAGTGAAACTAGCCCCGTTTAAAAATGGATATCTGCAGATTAGGCTCGACAGTGAAAGGTTTGTTGCTAAACATCCAGTTCTTTCAGTAGGTGTTGCAGACTTTGTGTTAACATTTTGACTTAAAGCTGCCTCTTAAATCACAGCATTTTTCAGCTCTTGATATAAAATTAGGAATTTCTTGTCAGTGTCAATAAAAATAAATACTGTACCCATCACACCGAGTAATATTAGGGTTAAGGGTTAACTCAGTACTAACACTACCAAAAATAGTCGCTTTCCATTCTTTATACCTTTCAATACTTCAACAACACCAGTGAATGAATGGTGCAAAGGGTTCGATATTGACTGGAAATCTTTCAAGAGCAGGAGTGCCTGATCCTTAAGGTAACCACAACCCATAGTCAATTATTTGGCACCACAGCACCAGCATTAGTTATTGAGAGGTGAGCTGTACATGTGCGTCAGATCATCGTGACTTTAAAGAAGCAGAGAAAACGTGGACTCACAAATTGTACTTAGAGATGGGATGTATGCTGACAAGAGGTTAAAATCTCAAGCACTTTATTAGGTTTGAACAGTATCTTGCTTAGAAAGGCCATTTGGCATTATATAATTATATATAATTTTATCATATATAATTATATATACATATATTCAAATGTTGAATAACAAAAAAAACACAAGAAACAAACTTAGGCAAAATAAAAAATAGGATTTGCTTAAGACAATCATACCAAATTAAAAAATGGCCGAAACACATCTGTAATACATTTGAAAATGGTCCCGATACAGTTCAATATACATCTTTAAAAAAAAATTACAGGAGGGAATAGAAAATAAAATAAGCAAGGCAGCAGACAGGAATGAATTATAAATAACCTTACATTATGTACAAAAGCGGAGAGGGTGTTGACCACTGGGAGGAATGGTTCAAGAGGGAAAGTGAAGGATAAAAAGGAAGCAACAAGTGAGCGGAGATGAATAGGAGACAAAGAGAAGGTGATGAGAAGAGAAAAGTTGGGCAACAGTTTTCTGCTGTCTCCCTTTCTAGAAATGGAGACCGTGGATTGAGTTTCATAAGGGCATTCAAAACGCTCCAGTGGGGGAAAACTCCTGGAATAAAGGGATAAAACAAGGGTAACTGGTTTCCCTTGGTGGTAAAGGATGCAAATCCTATTTCTGTGTTTTAGTTCTACATTCGGGGTACCAACACTTGATTACTAGTCATGGATCCCACGTTCAGCTGATATGGAATGAAATTAAAATACTATGCATTTGAAAAAAAATAAAATAAAGGTGTCAATGTTAGTTTGATGTACACAAGCACGAAATCCACAAATATACAACTACAGGGAATGTGAAAGAATAACTGACCCACACTTGGTTCTGGCTCCCTCAATTTGTCACACAAAAAGGATTTGTCATTGGTCAACAGGTGAAACATGAGGAAATGCATGCGAGTTAAGAAAACTCCAGGGATGATTCATTTGTTTTGAAAACCTACCCGTGAGGCACTTCATCAGTTCACTTATAATAACAAAATTAACAAAATATTGGGTCTCACAGTTTGGCACAGTGTCATGTTTTGTGGTCAAATTGCAGTGAGACATGATCACATGATTGAAACGTGCACAACAAACCCCTGTAATTTAAGAACAGACAGTAACGCTAAGCATCCCCTCTTCTATAACCTGATGAAACACCCAGTGAGTGTCAATGTAAATAAATGAAAAACATAATGGAACCTAACCAATCGTGTTAGCACTTGTGATGCTTTGGAACAAAAAGACCTGAAATGAAGAACATGACCCACTCACAGCCAACAGTGATTTGAGTGACTGGTCAGCTTAGCTGTCCGCTACTTTTAAGTAATCAGCCTAGGGCTTTGAGACCTGAAAACCCTTCAACAGATCAAACACAGTATAGTCACCATATTGTAAAAATCAAGGCCATATCTTTTTGACCTTAGCTCTCATTTGGTTCTGTACTTTTTAAGGGCTTTACATTTGGTGCAAAGAGTGCATAAGTGTTCAAACAATCAACATTGATGCGATCAACCCTTCTCAAAATTTATTATTTTTAAAAACGATATAGCCACTATCAGTTTGACACACTTGATTGTGCTCCTTCTTTTAATAAAATAAATTAAATAAAGGAGTGCTAATGTAATGTAGATTATACACAAGTATGGGTCTGTTTACAGTTAAAAGCTACAATAAGAAACACTGAACTAGCTGGAAAATTCTAAAAGAAGGAGAAAAAAAAAGATTACATTTTTTATTACAGTCTTTTAAAATCCAGCTGTGGGATCATATCTGAATACCCTGACTTTGGTGGAAGCCAGTACCACTTGAAGGTGACACAGCTGCAGAGATCAACTCAAGTTGAATATGTTCAATTTGTAAATTTAAACATCCTGGCATCAGTCATTTCCTGAGCGGACTGACCTAAAACCCTGCGGTTAACAGACATCATTTATCTTTTATTACAATCAAAAAAGGGCATGGCCTCAATGTTGACCTTGGATTAAATAAAAACACTGTAGTTCAAGTCTGAGCGCCATCCTACGACATTCATTTAAAAAAAGCATTGCATGGCACATTTCCTCTTTTAAAGTAACAACAAATCCATTTTTGAGAGAAATTGTTAGCAACAGCATTCGAGTAAAAGAAAACATTCCTCAGTTATCAATATTCATGATGGGAATTAAAAAGGCATCGCTCTGAAGGAGTGACAGCGCAGTCTCGTGACCCGACGCCAAATATTTAAAAAAGAAAAGGAGGAAAAAAAGACAGTAAATCCCAGCAGGCTCAAAGGAAAACTATAAACCCAGACAGAAAGGAAATACAGTCTACAAAATTTAAAAAAAAAATACTGAAGTGCTTATGTAAACAAAACAAATGCTGGGTATTGTTGATTTGTATGATGCAATAATGAGTTACTGTTTATGATTTGGCTCGCCAACATCATCAACATTACTGCTGATACCGTAACAGACCCTAGAACGTCATATAAGCCTTAATAAAACTACATGTCTTGAGTGTACGGGGCATATAAAATCTCAATGTTTTAATTAGTGATCCTTGGATAGCTCAAAAGTTTTGCTGTTCTGAACGTCTAAAGATGAAAGTCTCCAGACTCCAGAGCTACATACCCGACTAAGTGAAGGACTTTGGCACTTTGCAGACACGAGAAAGCGATGTGGAACCACGCCACAGCGCTCTCTGCCAGCTTGTGCTCCAGTTCAAACACACACAGACGCTCAAAGAATAATTAGCGGCTCCTGGTATTTAGGGTGTACGTTTACACATATTAAAACCTGAGACTATGAGCTACATCAGAGATTCCGATCTCCAGTAATGAGCTACCTCTGAACCCCTGAAACCTAACAGAGAGAAACTGTAACTGGCTTGGAAAGCTGTTTTTTTTTTTTTTGCCAAATCGAGGCAACCGACCCAATGTAGAGAAAAACTGCTTGTGTGAATGTCTGAGGAGTGAAAAACAGTTCAGGGTCTGTGGGTGAATGTAGAAACTTCTGCTACCACACAAAGTTGCTACAGTGTGGCTCGGGCAAAGTTTAAAATGTTTTAGGTCTCTGTCCCCAAGGTGTTTACAAAAAATAAAAACAAATGGTTGTTGTACATTAGCCACCAAAGCATTAGATTTATAGTCATATATATTTATATATTTATACCAATAAAATACATTACAGGTGCCACCCTAAAATGCAGCCAAACTCAAAACTGTGTCTAAAACCATAATAATAAAATGCAACACAGTTAGGTATATATATACATATTGGGGAGGGGGGGTGAAGATGGAAAGCAAAATAGGGGTGAAGGGCTGTATTAACATCATTACAAAATATTCAAGAAGGCATCTCAGTTTTTTTCTCTGTCCAGCTGCACTGCCCTGTTCTGTCCTTTGGGAGGAGACCTCTTTTCCCTTTTCCTCCGGGCAGTTCAATCCCATCCACAGATCAAGCTGTGATGAGTT